TGTTTTATGTAGAATCGGATAGATTTTTTTAATAATATCATATTGTTGTACTTTATGTTCCAGGGGTTTTTGTAATAATATAATATAATATAATATTTTATAATTATATTATATCATATTATATTATATTAATATATTATATTATATTACAGTAGGGCAGACTGTGCAAAACTGTATGAATAAAATATATCTGTCTATGTAACAGCTGTCAAAGTCCTGTTTTTTACTTTCCTTCTCTCCTAAAGTAATCGTTGGTTTGTTAAAATAGATTCTAGCTGTGTATCATTTTGTAAAATATGCTAATAAACAACATCTTCATGTAGTGGTGCAGTACATGAGGAGAGGTCTGATCCTCATGCTGGTCTCCAGTCCTGTCTTCAAGTTTTGAAACTGCATCACTCAGTCCGTCCTGTCTTTAGCCTCTTTCTCTAAATGTCTCCACAGTCTTCTGCTGGTTCTTTTAATAGCTCGTTACATCACTCATTATCTTCAGTCTAGTTAACTGACTGACTGACAAACTGTTTGCATGCAGGAGTGTATTTCGATCTGTAGATTTACAGCTACTACAGTACAGTACAACATCCCAGAGGTCCAGGTAATTTACTGAGTCCATACTGTAGTTCACTGTAAATTTGGAGGAGCTTAGGGTGACCTGATAGCCGAGTGGCTAGGGCGCATATCACATGGGCACAAATACCCAAGAAGTCGAATCCCCAGTTCAGTGTCTCATTTCCTGGACCAACCATCCTCATAAACAGTCAGACATGATACGGATGATACAGAGCCAGTTACAAATTCATTGTGTTTAAACTGTAACAATTACTTCATTTGTTGATGTTGGATGCTTCTCAATTATGATAATCTGCTGCTTCTTTTTAAGATAGATGATAGTGAATGATATACTTTATGGGCCAAATAAAACATCATCACTCTGGGACGTTGTGATGGATTCATTCGATTCATTGAGAAAATAATTGGCAAATTAATTGATAATGGAAGAAATTGTTAGTTGCAGCCTGAGCTGTGTTATTATTATTTAACCACTGTTCATTAGTGGCACATAACATAATAAAGGCTCGGTGATTGAATGGTGCACAGGTTTGATGTTTGATGCTGATTCACACTGTTGAAATGCTCCAGGTGTCAAGAACAGTTTACTTCCTGCTCTTCATCTCTATGTGTGTGAGACAGTTCTGGACAGAGACATGTCCTGATGGTAAGACTGATAAAGAGTGAGAGTTATGGAGTAACACTAACAGTATTTATATTTCATCCTAAATTAACCCCATGTGCAGGAAGTTGAAACGGGTAAAAAACATTTTTCTCATCTCTCTGTCTTTGAGGACTTTTGTCCTGCAAGGACACACATTCATGAACACACTCATGCATTCACTATTGAGAACTCTGTCTTTTTCATAAAGGAATTTTTCCCAGAAATTATGAGCGGTGCCCCAGTAAGACACATTCATTGTGAGGCAGAGGCCTCGATTATGAGAGAGGGTTAATTGTTTTGTGCGTGACACATAATGTGGCAGTCTGTTTGGTCTTGGATGAACGGGTCAGGCAGACACGTCACACTGTGCACTCTAGGTCAGTGGGATGGCAGTGAAAGGATGACTCACAGACATATGATCACCACCAGTTGGAGGTGAAAGATGAAGGAGGTGAAGCTTGAAACGACAAATTAAAAAAGTAAAGAAACAGACAAGCGCTCAGCAGCTGTGAGAGGGAGTTCGTCTGAAACACTCTCCAGTCAGAAACATGTCCCTGCATTAGATACAGATCGGCTTTAGATATTAGAAAACAACATCCAAACAACAGGTTCAGAACAATAGAAGTCTTTTTATGTCAGGAAATATAAATCACAAACTGCAGCTACTGTGAACATTTGTCTATTTTTGGACATGTTTTATCTCTGCTTGGTCCTGAATCACCTGTAGAGCTGCACAATTAATTGAAATATAATCAAAATCACAATATGGCCAAGTGCAGTTTCCAAATCACAGGGGCTTCCTTTGTTTTTGATAAAGGTAAAATATGTCACAACATTGTTGCGCATTGTTGGCACCATAAACATTGTGATGCTACAGTACGGAAACCGAGAAAGGCCATATTCAATTTTTTGTTCAATTTTTTTATCCGTTATCTCGCAATAACAAAGCTCGTTATCCCGCGATAACGAGATGTTATCAGGAGAAAATGATATTGATTGAACCTCATACACTAAGTCTCAATAACACTCCTCCTTAGCAACAATCCTTAGTAACTCGTTAGCTGAGGGCTGATCTGAAAATGATCTTGTATGAAAAAACACAGTTTGAGTTCTGCCCCTGATTGAAATATTCTCTGATCCGTTGATCAATGCGCTGTCCTGACATTTCCACTTTACAGCACTACAAGATCCCATCTGCATCTTATCTCTAATTAACAAAGTCATTATAATGAGAAAACAAGCTTCGTTATCTCAAGAAAATAGGATAATATCTCATTATCTAGGGATAACAAAAATAATAAAAGATAATAGTTTTTTGTCTCTGGATAACGAGCCTTGTTATCTTGATATAATGGGATAAAAAAATATTTGCAAATATGGTCTTTCTCTGCTTCCGGACTTCTGGACTTAGCCTACAAATCATATTCTCCAGACTACAGATGCCCCGATTGATTGCTTTGAATGCTTCTAGTCACCGATCATCTTAAAAGCGATCACCTATGGTTAATGCTCCGGTGTCTGCGGCTGACAGAAGCACTGTGTGCTGTGTAGTGTAGTCCCACCTCCCACCTTGTTCACTGTGCCGACGAGCGACAGGCCACGAAAACAAAACATGTCGGCCGTGTGGAACTTTTACAAAGTGTGTGAGACTGATATAACCGCCATCTGCAATGCATGACAAAGATGATTGGTATCGACCCATAGACCCATAGATGATCAGTATCAGTATTGACCGCAAAAAAACACGATTGTGGCATCCCTACTCCAGACATAAAGGAACATGTTTGTTTGGTACAAGCTCCAACAAAAATTACATCATTGTTTTTCAAAATTTTCAGTGAAAGTGAAAATGCAAAAATAATGATTCCAACTGAAATTGTGACTCATCGCAATATCTGCCAAAATAATTGCAATATGATTTTTTTGCATATCATTCAGCCCTAATTACCTGTGAACATTAATACAGGCTTCATTCAACAAACCTACACAGGTACTGCAGTTTACCTCTGTTCCTTTACACTGCCTGCCTATAAGCTGGAGAGATATTACAAACAAGTTTATGTCTCTGCCCAACATGCATGATTAACAAAACTCTAATGATAACGATGGTGGTTTCTAAGCAAAAATAAATCTAAATTTCAGTGCGACTTTAATAACAACATCCACAGACTACATCTAGCCTCACAGACTACAGTTGTCAGTGTTGAATAATGACGCTGTCAGGCAGTGTCACACACTCTCACACACTGTGGGAAACCCCAGCCAAACTGGACTGGACATCATTTAACAGTTAACGTTAGAGGCAAATAATTCATATGACAAATAATGGCGCACACACTGTAACCGTTTCCATCATGTCATCCCTCCCTCTGCAGAGTGAAGAGAAATGCCAAAGTCACTGTGATACTGTTGTAACAAACTAAACTAAAAGATGTCCCACTTCAGACAGCTGTTGCCAGATGTTAGACTGATGTTTACATCAGGTATTCAGTTGATATAATGACTCAGAGGTCTTAAATCCCACTACTACCTGCTGCACAAATACAGACTCAAATTTCAGTTCACAAAACACAACACTGATACAGGCAAAAGGTAAAGTGCAACCTCTGACAGGCATCAGTCAGACTCCGCCACCCATGACCTGTGCTATGACCTGGTAGCAACTTTCTTTAATGTGATTAACACCTTAAACACTATATTCTGATTATGTCTCTGCTATGATTGGCTCACTGTGATCACGACTTGCCAACAAACTTATTTATAAGGATGTATTCTCTCAGTTCAGATGTGGGCAGTCTCATGGTTTACAGCCTACACAGTCTGGACTCAAGGGTTGTTTTAGGAAAAGGAAGAAAAGCTGCATTTGATTATCAGATTCTGGATGGAGAATCCATCTGTTACAGTGAAGGGTGGGGTGCTGCATGCTTGAAAATCTTTGCAAGTACTTCCCTGATTACTGTAGGTAACTCAGTTTGTATGTGACTTCCTTTTTCTCATCACTTGCTTCCTCAAAACGCCAAACTTTCATTGAAGTTGCAGCTCATCAGGTTACAGTACTATAGGTTAGCTGTCAGTACACATAGCCACAAATCTCATCATAATAATGATGAGTAGTTAACACAGTTCTACCGCCCTGTACATGACATGTTAACAATCTCACTGTGGAAAATCACTTTTTATTTGTGTCATATCAAACCCTTCTGGTCCTTTCGGTTAGTGTATACCCCGATACCTCCCACTGAAATGTCACTCACATAAGAGCTTTACTGGCATTATTATGGAGCCGAATTTAATAGGGGACCCGTCTGACTTATTCGAAGTCTGAATTTCTGTTGTTAAAGTCCTGTCTTTACACCTACACGGTTGCGCTACATTAAAATGGCAGATTTCTAAACGGAGTTCGCAGCTCTCACTTCAGTCCACGTCGCCAGTCGTTACTTATGGAAGCTGACCAACTAGTTGATGCGACAGATTGACAGGTGGGCAGGTGCAACTGTGCCAACTAATGCTGGTTGTAGCTGACTGCAGCAGAGACACTGGCATCTCTGTAAACCCCCGACTAACTTCTTCCTCTGATGACTGCTTCATGAAGCCCGACACCCTCCCTCTCTCCCCGGGCCCTGACTGTGCTCTGATGAGCTGGAGAGTGTTTAAAACAGCACAGTGAAAGTTTACTGAAGTGTTCACCCTCACTAAACATCTCCACGCTACAGTTTACACTGCAGAGAAGAAGAGGGTGGTATAAAAGCGAAGCGGTGCACACAGAGAGGCTGAAGCCACTACTCACATCTTCCATGATAAAGGACCAGGATCCGTTATGTGAGAGTTGACCAGCCTGAAATCACTCGACGTCGCTTTATCCCCGCCGCAAACGGTTCTCTTCTTCTTCTCCGGTGGCGTTGGGCAGCTGACACATTTCCCCCAGCACACGTCAGTGTAGAAAATGAGGAACTGTGGAGTTTGGTCTCGTCTCGTTTTCCTCTTCTGCTTCAGAGAAAAAAAAAGTTCGAAGAAAAAAGTTTGGTTTCCGGTTGAAGCGCCTTCACACTCTTCAATCTGTCGAGGAGGAGCAACGCTGAGCCTCATCTCAGGCATCCGACGTTAAAACTTCAGCCGTGACGTCACAGCAGAGTTTGACCAAAAGTTTAAGGTCTGAGCTGGAGGAGGAAGAGCAGCAGCTGCAGCATCCTCTGAGTCCTCCCACCAGGGACCCACTGTGGACTAAACCCAGCACCACAACATGGAGGACCCGGACCCGGACTAAAGTTTTCACACTTATTTCTCAGCCTTTATCTGGGGCACAGTGACTGATGAGCATAGTGGTGCTGAGGCCTCTCCTGTTACGAGGCTCAACACTTCCTGGTGCAGTAGGTGTGGCAGATCCTGGGTCAGACTTTTATTGTGTTTGAATAAAATACAGTAAAGTGATGCTGCTACTTTCTAACAGGGCGTCACTTATAAAGACTTTTAACTCATGGTTGTATCAGTGGTTAATTAATCATTACTAATGAGTACTAGATCAGTTATAAGATATCAATATGAGCAGAATTTAGGTTGCCAGGCTGTGGAAAACAAACATCTGTGACTTGAAATATTGAATAAGTTGTAATGAATATATTTTAGTCTAGAAAAGTGTGGTCCAATCAGTCAGTTCTTCTTATTAATGGATTATAATTCATGTAGAAAACATTAACTGTGTGAAGACATTAGTTACAATTAATTATATTGTATGTATTAGGAACCACAATGGTAACTGTTACAGTTTATTAAAATCAATACAGGAATGTAACATATGTCATATATCAAGAGTGATGTTGCCACATATGTAAAGTGTCTACTGTATTATTATCACATATATACGTCCTCTGGATATATGAAGATATACGTTGTACATATATTTGTATGGGCTCCACTTACTGTATATGTCATATGAAAATTCCTCCAATTTCCAAAAGGTTTTATATATAATTTTTACATATACGTATGTACAAGTATATGTTTATACTTCATATTTACATACATTTCATATCCAAAATTCAGTATATGTACATACGTATATTACATTTGTGGATAAGCACAAAAGAATGGTAATATTGGTAGAATTCAATTTAAAAAACAGTTCACTGTTAAGTAGATTTAAAAAAGAGGAGGGACGTAAGGTAACAAAAATATTCTTATTATTATATGATTAGCAGGTATAAGGTTCAGTCTAGTTGTAGTGTACATATATATATATGTATAGTCAGCCATCAGTCATTAGTCAGTTTGTGTGAACTCAGTCTCAAGCTCAGAGGAAAGAAGGGGCTGATTTACTGAATATAGTCAAAATGTTTATAGGTGGACAAACAAAAAGGAGCCTTATTATCACAATATTTACCTGTCATTAAATAAATAGTAGCTTTTTTATCTGTGAAAACAAGTGATTTTTTTGTCAGGATTATTCAGTGTTTGTGGCTGTAATACTCGTTTCAGCCACAAGAGGCTGAAGTGCATCACTATCCCAGTCTAAATGGGACTAAAAGCCTCAATGTTTTTTTCCAGGTGGATTTATTTCTCTATTTACTCTAAACATACAGCACATACAATGTGAGTCTACTTTCAGGCTTTATCACAATGACTTCATTCCAAAATTTCCAACACATAGTTAACAGTAAACACAGAGGTGCATTCCATAAGAATACATTCACATTCAAACTGCTGGATATTTAAATAAGTTAATAAATACAACAGCTATACTCCTTCAAGAAGACAGACATTTTGTTGTCATCCCACTGCAGTTAATGTTATGAGGATTCTGATCCGCAGCTACAGGAAGCAATGTCTGTTCCCTGAGCCTCACCTCATTCAGGCACTAAACCCTGAGGTTCTCATTGTGTTAAAGTAACGCTTGTTGTCTGTTCTCACCAGAAAGACTTTGTGCCCGTGGTAAACAACAGGAGGAATATCTGACGTCTGATCACATCTTGTTGCTCCTTCATGTGGCTCCCCATAAAGATCATTATATATATCATCATATATATACATCCTCCGGATATATGGAGATATAGGTTTAACACAAACCAATAGTCAAATTTGTTTAATTACATATATTAAAAATATCTGTATTATGAATTTCATATGGTATTGCGACCATATATGTCATCAATGTAATGAATTAAATATATATTTAATTTATATATGCAAGTTTATTAAAACAACATACATATAATAATATTATATGCTTCTAAATGTTTTTCTCATTAATACGTCATTAATTTTGACCGACCTTTCCATTCTAGGAAAGTGATCTCAGACTTTTGGAACCCACTTTTTATAATATTAACATATATTGACAGGCTTTGGGGTGGATATATATTTACATAATATATGTCTACAATATAAGCATACATACAAACATAAATATTTGCATGGGCTGGACATGTATGTCAATACATGAAATTATTCCCATATAGGGTTTCATATATTTTTTTTACATATGCGCTTTTATATGTACATATATGTCATATATAAATATTCAATATATGTACATATGGGTCTACACTTGCTACGACAGGTGTCACTAATATTCCCCCAGTTTCTCTAAGTGCTGCTCTATGATCATTTTCTCTTTATCCCAAACAAACCAGGGTGTCAAACACATTCCTCCCTGTGACCCTTTTTTCAGGGAGGAATGTCGAGCAAAATGAGATTGTCCTCACATTGGTTGTTTGTGCAGCAGCTTATTTTGAACCATAGTTATGTCTTGTTGTTAAGTGACATCAGGCTGATGTGTGCGTGCCCTCTAGTGGCACAAAAGAGGAAGTCAGGTGATGTGAGAGCGACAAAGATGGATGGATTGATTGATTAACGAAACATTTGACCTCTGTTCGTTTCCCATTTTAAACTGACCGTCATCATTGTTTCTTTAATCACAACCACGATCACTCTATAATTTTAACCTTAACGTGTTTAGTGTTGTTACCATGACAACGGGGTCCGCTAACTTTAACAAAGAACTGATTTTAACCCAAAGCACAATATTTCCCTAAACCTAACCAAGTTGTAACATTTACCACAGCATCATAAAATGGTTAGTTAGTTATTCTGAACCGTTTATCTGTAGTTTATCTCTGGGTCGTAGCAGAGGGTGGGGTCAACCACCTATGGTTGTTTAGATGGAGGACTGGTTGCAGAAGATATAAAAGTTGTTACTGAAAAGGACAGGGTGGAGTATTGTACTGAGTACAGCTGTTGTTCTCCGCTCTGTACGACTGACTGGACTGTGCTGGCAGGATTTCACAGCAGCCTTTCCTGGTGCAGGCTGGACAGGCAGTCAGTCCCTGGTGCTGCAGCATGCAGGGAGGCGTGCTGGGTCGTAAATGAAGCAGAACACCCCAGGACACATCTGTTTACAGGTGTCTGAGAGCTGCTGCCTCATCTCTTGTGAAAGCTGGGACTGTGGATGATCTGAGACAGCTTTCCAAAGGAGTCCATCGTTTCCACAGGTTCTTCTGTTTGTGCCGCACTCTGCCTCGGCTGGTCAGGGATGTCTAGTCCAGAGGATGAGGTCCGATCCAGGGTGCTGATCCTGGGGAGGAACTGAGCCAAAGCTGGGACACCTCGGTCTCGACCCTGCAGCCGTTGCCGCTGGTTTCCCAGACTGAGCAGGGCTCCGTGTCTGTCAGAGATGTAGATGTTGTACCCGTCTGGTAAGATCTGCTCTCTGAAGCTGCAGTCATCTCTGCTGTAAGTGTGCTGGAAGACATGGAGAGACACTCACATGTAAAACATGATTTCCCACAAATAACCTTTTTGTGATACCGAATTACTGACCAAACACTTAACACAAATAACATTCTTGATTCTGTGTTTAGACAACATTCAAGAGTTTGATTGTGTGTAAGACACAGATGAAAAGTGTAACTAATGAAAAATGAAACAGAAGGATAGCGCTACCCTGTGCATGCACAGTGTGTGTGGGTCAGGTGCAGCGTAATAAATATTAGATAGGATCAATCAGAGGGGCGCTCTGTGATTGGTGGTTATAGTTAGGGGCAGGGGCCTGACAGCCAATCAACCACAACAGCTTAGTCTCTACAGCTGATCCAACCTAACACCAACCTGGAGTTTGTTATCAAATCAATGTAAATTTGACCCTGACTGCTCCTGCTCCTGGCTGCTGGGCATTCTCCCTGGGCGCTCGGGCGTACCAACAGTTTTGGCGCCTATGACGCTGACTATGGATCAGTACCTCAAACAACCCTGTCAAATAACCCAAACTATCACTGTAAGGTGAAGTCGTATTTAATATTTAAAGTTGTGAACTCCATGAAATACTGTAAACAGCTTGGAACAGCAACAGTCAAATATCACTTCCTATTTAACACCCCTATTAGACAAGAATGGAACGACCCGTGGCTGAGACTGGTATATCTGTGTTAACCAGTGTAAGTAGCAAAGCAAACCTATGATGTAAGCATGCGCACCATTACGTTGCGGCTGTTCTCATGGTGACAAGTTCAAATAGATCAGTCAACTATGATTACATCATCAATGATATTAGATCGTTCCATGATGACAGGATGTAGCAGGTCCTAAGTATTAGCCTACCATTAAGCAAAGCAGCAGGTGAGCGAACACAAGTAGTTTGTGTTTTCAAAAAAAAAAAAGAAGTTTGTGTTTTGAATGATTTCATTTACTGACTTGTGTCAATCAAATGAAGCCACATTGGAAACATCCATTCAGAGGAGAAGTTGCAGGGCAGGCAGAGGTTAAGCTAACAGGCTAGGCTATGAAAACGTAGTTAAGCTAGCTTTCATTTCCAGCAGTAGCAGACTGACTGTCATGTTTCTGTGTAAAAGCATCACAGATAAAGAGACTGTCAGAGGAGTGAATGATGAATGAAAGGATGTTTTCTGTCTTTTCATCTTTACTAATGAACCATTTAATTCACTGAGCAGCTCAGAGGCTACTGAGCTACTGACATGGCGAGGCATGAAAAATCAGAAATCTCTGGGATGTTATTTACATCTTATTTCCACAGACCTGCATTATTTTCACCTGATATATTATATTATATATTATATTGCATATTCCTACATTCCAGTCATTTGTGAAGCAGTAAGACAGAACAGAAAATGAATCTGTAACTATTTTGGTTGAAGCTCCAGAGGATTGTAAAGTGGTTATTTTTGGGTTTTGCATATAAAGAAAATGAGCAGCAGTGAAGTGCTAGTTGCAGCCCAAAAATGTAATAACAACACTATAAATGTCCAGCCTGTAATATTTCAGCACAGGAGGCCTGTACACATATTGCACAATGAGGGGTAGACAACGGAGGAGTAATGAGGGCCCAGCAGCTAATTGTTGCCCCAGGTTCTCCTCGCAGGTTAGTTTGGCCATGGTTTTAGAAACACCTAAATTATTAGCTTTAAGTTGTTGCTAGATGATTTCTTACTGTTTTGTTCCCTGTGTTTTTCAGCATGAATAGTGTTTTTAGATAAAAATCTGCTTTTATCAAAAAAAAAACAAAAAAAAACACGTAAATGTTGCTGCAAGTTCTTCGATGGCTGTTTACTTTGGCCAAAGACAGCGAGCCAGAGGCCAAGGTTGTTGTTGCTGCTGCTGGATCTTTTCATTCAGGTTTTTCACTTTGCAAACACATCCTACCCTGCACTGGACAAAGGTTGATGAACCAGCCGAATGTTTGAATGAATGACTGACTGCAATGTTTTCTGAACATGGAAGCTGACGTCCAACATATGAAAAGCAGCAGCGGACATCAGGTCAACAGGGTCTACAGAAATCTCTCTGGATGATTCAAGATGAAGTCTGTCTATCTGGGAGGAACAGTTTTAAAATGTTCAGTTTATCAAGAGATCACTGATTATGACTTTGTTTTACACTTTGTGTTTATCTGCAGGATTACACCAAAAGTCCTGAACTGATTTGCACCGAGCTCGGTGGAGTGATGGGGCCTGGACAGTGGAGATATTTTGGTATTGATCTGGTCGAAGGAACAGATCCAGATAATATTCCAGATCTGGTGAAAGAAAATGCTGAATGTGCATTACATTGTACTAACGAAGGAAGGAATGAATACATCAATATTCAAGTAATAAAATTACACAATAACAATAGCAGTTCCAAACAGCAATAAGACAGTTCATATAGAACTGTATAATGCTGATGTCATCACTTCACACTGCAGGTAATAAGCCATGCAGCTGTATGTGTTTAAGACAGTAATAAATAAAACTCTGAACAAAGAGGTGTAGAGTGCTTTGGCCTTGGCAGAGGTATGCAGACTACTGAGAGTCATTCTAGTTTAGTTTAGTGGTCAGATTGTATTTTTATAAAATCTTCTATGGAGCTCTTAACACCCAGTATAAATCACATAAACTGGAAAAGGATCCATTTTTTTTTAAGAAAATGTACTTGTGCAGAAAATCCCCTGTTACAACATGTGAAATATAGTTGAAGTGGCAGTTGAAACAGTTACTGAAAGTGATTAAAGAAGCTGAATTTAGCTCTGAGTGAGGCTGAAATATTAATTTAGCTTTAAGCACAGAGTGGAGCCGAGGAATCAGCTGAACTTGAAGCACTGAGAGGAGGTGATGTGAAAGTTGAAGAGTGAGATATATAAGCAATCAAACTGCCAAGTATAGGGAAGTAGGAAATTCCCCATTACCCGTCATTTTCACAACTTTCTCACCAAGTTTATAATAGAAAGTGAGCTGCTGCAGTAAATAAATACAGTGCAGAGACCACACGGTCACAGGCAGACAGTTTAACCTGTTTATTTGGATCAACAAGGATATGGAGAGGCTAGAAAGCTTTCACAGCAAAGAGTCAGAAAAGTTCCCCAGGGAAGAGACAGTGAGTCCCTTTTTCTGAAGAAATTGATTGGCCTGAAAGGCCTGAGACTAATTTAGCAATTAAAAATCAAGTTAGTCTATTTACAGTATTTATTTAATTTAATCTCTTCAGACTGATCAGGTTGGTCACATATATTCTGTGGTTTAATCAATTTAATCTGTTAAATTTTAATTCAGATAAAAGGTAAAATGTTTTACTTATATCTTGTGACTTTGTGTTGTGTTGTGTTGTGTTGTGTTATGTTGTGTTGTCACATGTCTGTTCAATCACAGTTAGTGGTCTTGGTGAAGTTATTCTAATTTGAAAGCAGTTGCATATTTCGGAATGTTTTTTTTTCTGCTGTAATAGGACACAACTGTTTTACTTCACTTGGCATTTAAGACAAGTACCCTACATGTGGAGGTGAAAGTGATTTTCTGTCATTATTTAGACCAGGGTCAGACATGATCTGGCAGCAGGTGTCAGGACCTGGATCCTTACCGATGAGTACAGAGATCCGTCTCCTTCTATGCAGAGAAACCGTGCGGTTGCTACTCCTCTGATGGCAACACAGCCCGGGTCCACAGGACGGATCTCCAGCAAACCTGCAGTTCAAACACCAATTAGAATGAAGAGTCCCTCCAATTAGCATCACAGTGTACAGTTCAAGGCTTTACTTACTGTGCAGAGTCTGGACCGCGGAGCCGTGGATCTGTCCATCCCCACTGATCAGAAGGTGAAGTCCCGGCCTGGCGGCGTACAGGTGCCTGAGCCGGACCACCTGGTCCCAGCCGTGGTCGATGTGGGGCCCCTGTTCCGATAGAGGCATGCAAACAACTCCAGCAGCAAAAAACGCATTGACAACGTATACGGTGAGCAGAAGCATGATTCATCCAATCGTCCGCGCGCGCTGTGTTCCCGCTCCCTGCAGCTGTGTGAAGTGAACCAGTCCCATCCTAACCCATCCCTTTAAATATGGCCCTTATCAGCTGCAGATAACCCTCTTTCCCAAATCCAGTTCCCAGAAGCGCACCACAACACACCCCTGCATGGCATCCAACGGAATCATAGCTGGTCCCTGACCAGAGCCCCTGCACTGTAAAAAAAAAAAATGTAATTTTACAGGAAATGCTATGTAATTTTTTTTTTACTGATTTTTCCTGTTTTCAAATAAAACAATGAAATGGCAGTAGATTTACAGATATTTTCAGTAATTTTAGGTTTTATGTCAGTTAATTAACCATAATGTAAGATTACATTAATATTTTTTTTAATGACAATTTATTGTATTTGTACATCTTTAACTGTAATTAGCGCCACGGGTGCTCAGCTCCGAGGCACTCCTCTACAGCTATTCTAGCTGTAGAGGAGTGCCTCGGGGCCTCGGTGTTATTATTCTTCCGCCAAATTTCGGCGCGTAACTCGTCCCGCACCTTTGAGAAAACCCCAGTAATATATACATCAAAACGTGCGTCTTGATCCCGAAAGAGGTGCTATGACTTTTGGTGTTAAAAAATTCCAATTTTTCCCAAAGTTATTCCCAAAAAACTGGGAATAAATAATCCATTAGGAATGCATTGGAATTTTCTTTAGAAACCCATAAAATTTCACCTTTTTTCTACAAAATTTCACCTTTTTTCTGAGTCACCCAGCTCTCTCATACCTGCACGTAGAAATGTGATTCAAACTATAAAACGGAGGAAAACTTCTGCTCTCTCCAAAACACAACAACTGTTTTTACATAACATGTAAACTTTTCAAACTATGAGCACTCAAAGGAGGAGTGGAAATCACTTTTTCTTCAAAGTTAGAGTGACAGCGTCAGTTGGCTAGAGTGCGTGAAGCAGTAAAAAATAACCTTTATTTTTATTTTTAACTCGAGCTCACGGCCAAACCGTAAAAAGGAGACAAATAATTCTTTCTGAAAATGTAGACATAGTTGTTGGGATTCATAAAATGTAACTTTGACAGGCAGGGTCTGCACAAAATTTAAACGGGGGTGCCGAGTCCGGCAGCAATACCTGTCTCACTCTCATTGACACCTAATGTAATCGTCTTTTTTTTTCAAAAGAATCTCACTCTGTCTTCGCACTGAGCTTACTCACTCATTTTAAGGAATATCTGAATAAAATAGAGACTGTAAGAAACTTCTGGCTTCAGTGTCTGTCACGGTGTTTTCGGTTTTTGAAAAGAAGTAACGGTTTTCTCATAATTTGCAATTGTTTTAAGCCATGTAGAAGCCAAATTCTGGGCAGATTTTCACATTGCCATGGCAACGGCAGCTCCTGACCTGTGTGCGTGTGTGCGTGCCTAGCAACCAGATAACCAACTCTCCAAGCTCCGCTAGCTTTACATTAGCCGCATGTTAGGTCTTAAATTACATTTAGTTAGGTCTTAAATATGTAAGTCCATTTACTGCTTCCTTTGTTGCTTTTCTTTTTGTTTTGTTAAATGAGTGAATGAAGTTGTGACGGTCTCCGCTGAGACAGAGGAGAGGAGAAGCTACTAGCCCTCTCTCGCTGTCACTTCTAGTCGCGTTGCTCTCCTCCCCAGTAATGTTAAATTTAGCACAGAAAAAAACATAATAGTGGTAATTTAAATAGCGGTTCATGGGATTTATTAACCCTCAGGGGTCCCTCTGTCCTTTTTTGGACATTTTCACTTTTCTTTTTTGATTTGCTGATCATTTTGGCTGTGTTACAGCTGAAGGTATGGATTTCTGCAAGAAAGTGTCTTTTTTGACACATTTTTAAAATCTAATGTCAGTTACTGTTACAGGTCTATTATACACTGGTAACACATTTTGTACCCTCTGGGGTTCCTCGCGTCCAAGAAAGGACGCAAGGAAAATGCTATAAAATTATCATATATCAATATTTTTTTCTGCTTTTTTTTTTTGCATACATCTCTTAAACCACTTCAGTTCTGCTCAAACATACCAAATGTTTATTAGTTTTCAGGATTTTAACCCTTTAAATGCAAGTTTGAAGACATGTTGCCTCTTGTTTTATAAAAAAAACAACAACACAGAATATGAGATATTTCCCACATAATACATGATGGAGGGATGTGACATTGTTTTATATCAGAGTCTTTTATATCAAGACATTTCTCAAAACCAGAATATGATCAGGGTGGCTTTTGAACACTGGAAATAAGTAATGTACTCATCCCGGCAGTAGCCCCCGTGGCACTCAAAATTTCCCTGGAATTTTCTAGTTTTACATACAATTTTCTGTAAATTTTTACAGGTTTACCACCATTTATCATAAAACAATGTAATAACTGTAAATTAACAGATGCTAGTAGTAATTTAAATATTTACCTTTAGAACTACATGTAATTACCAATAATATAATATTACATTATTACTACTATTACTATTACTATTTTTTAAGGGTAATTTAACATATGTATTTAATATTCAAATGTAATTTTACATAAAATGTGATGTCATTTTACAGATCTTTCCTGATAAAATCAAAGAATGTTTTCCATAAAATTGCAGGTCATTAAGCATGTGGTTAAGGTGATGTTATGTTTTTAATGATTAGTATTTGTACAAACACAAAAATCATTTACTGTACATTACTGTATAAAGACAGTTTAAAATATATTATTTTAAAAAAGTGCACTTTAAATAATGTAATTTTACATAAAGTATTCTGTATTCTTACAGATTTTTGCTTTTCTAAACAATAAAATGCCTGTAGACTGACAGATATTGGGAGTAATTTTAATTTTAACCATGTATATGGTATTGTATTAATAGTAGGATTTTTTTTAACTGTACATTACTGTAGAAAAACAATTCAAAATATTATTTTAAGGAATGTGCACTTAAAATAATGCAGTTTTAAAGAAATTATTCTGTATTCTTACAGGTGTTGACTTTCAAACAATGAAATGCCTGTAAATTTGGAGATATTGGGAGTAATTAAAATTTTTGTCCTTAAAATTCCAGGTAATAAATGATTTAAGATTAGGTTAATATTATGTTTTCAATGGGAATTTATTATATTTGTAAACATTTGAATGTAATTTTACATTCAATGTGAGGTATTAATTTACAGATTGCTGTCCATGATAGACATACAAAATTACAGAAATCACCAGTGACTCAAAGTGCACATTTTCCAGCCTGCATAGGACAATGCCGAGGTTACTGACTAATTATTAAAAACCAGGATGTGTTGCGTGAGCAGATGCTGCTAACTACTGTAACTGAACTTGGTGTGTAATTGTAACAATGAGCATTCAAACACATCAAACTAACAATATATTAAAAACACACGCAAAAACAGATTTTGCATAAATAAATCATAAAGTACAGTAGAATGTATGGCAGAGCTGTTGGATTGGATTCCATTAGATTGCACAGGTGTACCTAATGAAGTGGCCGGTGAGTGCACAGTATGTACGCATACAGGGACCAAAATTAGCACCATTTACCAGCCAAATGCTGGTAAAATATGCAGCTGGGAGACTTGCCTCATTCCCCTGCCAAAAAAGACAATGGCAATCCACTGAGGTGATATATATATATATATAGTTTTTTATTATTATTATTAATAATAATATTATTATATTATTATTATTATTATTATTGTTATTGTTTTATTTTTTCCATTAGAAACGCACTTCATTCACTTCATGCAATCAGACAAATAATTGGGATTAGCGCTAGTGTCCATTCAATCAGGTTCGTTGTGAGCATGTCATGAGTCATGCACGTGAAAGACGTGCCCTCATGGAGGATGCATGAGGCAGCCACAAAAGACGTGTCAAGCAAACATTTGAGGTAAGTGTAATTTTCATATCTGGACAGCCTTGAAGCTAACGTTAGCATCCCTCTGATAAATTGCTACCATCACATAAGCTATTGTTAGCAGATAGCTATCGTTTTGTATTAATTGTTAACGCGCGCTTTCGGTCAAAGCCTTTTCTAACATGGCCAGAGGTTAGTCTTATTGTGTTCTCTCTGCTGTTGTATGTTCATAAAAGTTGTTATTCGTGATTTGAATGCGGTCAAACTGCTGTATGCTGCTCTGTGTAATGTCCCACTCGGCCTGCATGAGTCTCGCAGAGACTTGAGATCGTTAATTTAAGTTTTCTCCTGTTTCCCCATATGTGTGTGCGAGCTGCTTGTATTGATGTCATGCCTGTAAAAAAGGAGACTTCGACCTGGAGAAGGTAAGACCATATGTATTTCTCTGTAAAACTCAGTATATAGCTGCATGAATCTATTTTGGAAAGAGAAATGTCATCAGGATCTGTGATTGACATGTTTAATGTTTTCACTTGAGCAAATCTTACTTTTAAGAATATAATGTTGATAGGAGTAGAGTAATGTGCTGAGTGTAATCTCTAAAGAGAATATTTATCACTCTTTATTTCTAAAGTAAAGTGGCTCATTGTTGGCTTTGCTAGAGATGCTCGGTGGCTTGTGGATCACAAGACAGACATGAAAATAATGATGTTTTAAGGTGTGACGCTGTGGTTAATGTCTAGTTTAGGCACAAAAGCCACTTGATTAGAACTATGAAAAGATCATGGTTTGGGTTAAAATGATCACTGGAGACAAGTTTTCAAATTCCTTAAAGATATGCAACCTTTACTGTCATGGCAACAGTGAACACCACGATTAATTGACATGAGCAAGATTAAGTCCATTAGAGTTTCTAAATGTCGGTTTCGATTATTTTTCGATTAATTGCTCAGCCCTAGTTTGTTGTAAGATTCTTTGTTACATTCTGTTTGAATATGGGTTGGTTTTGTTGTAAATTATGTTGTTGCGTGGTATTGGTGTAATATTCCTCCATGTGCCCCTTTTTAACACGCTCCCTCAAGGTTTCTGCACGGCCCTGGTTAGCTTGTAAAATAGATACAATGGGTTCAGAAAATTTACAGACACCTTCAGTATTTTCACATTATGTTGCAGCCTTTTGCTTAAATCACTGAAATGCATTTTTAATCTCATCAGTCTACACTCCATATCCCATAATGACAAAGTGAAAACAGAATTTTAGACAT